GGGGGGGGGGGAGGTCAATAGTTTTAGAACATCTGCGGGAGGGCAGCGCTGCCCCGGCCGGAAGCTTACTAGAATAAGGATCAGGCTACTTAATTTCTACTTCACTGCGTGGGAGACAGTAAAAGCTTGGCGATATTGCCTCCAATCCCTTAGTTTAAAATTTACATGAATCTGAACTCTTTTTAAGCATTAGAATAAAGGTCCGTGGAAAGGGAAGAGCTTTAGAGGTAATCAAATGAAGCGTTTACGAGGATGCTCTACCTACCTGATAAATCAAGTTTGCATAAAGTGATATTCCTGTGTGCCGCTAGATTTTTTTTTTTATTGTATGACAGTCTTCTCCCTCCTGACTCCCCCTTCTCCCAGTTCCCTTTCAATCGACCCAATGTGCTCGTATTTCCTGGATAAGAATTGCTAATAAGATGCTCTTATGCTCTCTTTCTTGAATAAATCAGAAGAATAAAGGCTGGAGGAGGGGAGAGATAAGCTAAAAGCAAGGGAAGAACTTTTTTTTAACCTGCCACTTTGCCTTTTCTTTAACATTTCAATTAATCATAGGAGACTTGGATTTTTATAAGGCAGCTTTGGACCTTGAGTTGCACTGAGGGAGAACACAGCATTGCATCTAAAATGAAATAAGATAATATATATATATATGATATACAATGTAATGTGAGTAAACAACCTTATCAAACTTTTCTGATACATTTACTGTCCCATGTTGGGCAGCAAAAAATTTACCCTGATGATGCAATTATACCGTATTATATAAAATTTGCAGTATACCCAAGATCACTCATTGGTAAGTGGTTACTGGGAACTAGAATCCATATCTTCTGATTTGTTTTTTGCATTTTCTACTGTGATCCTTTCTGTTCTTTAAAGAATTTAAACTTCTCTCTTGTTTTTCTTTTTTCCTTCCTTCTTCCTTTTTTTCTAAACACCTATTCCTGTTGGCTTCAGAATTTATGACATACTTGCTTAAATAACACAGTACATGCCTTCTTGGACAGCTACATTTTCTCTCGTGTATAACACTTGTCTTATATGATGTACTAACTGCATAAGCTACTTCCGGGCTTGTTTCCCGGTTCTCGGATGCCCCACAGATTCCAACACAGTTCCTTCCATATAGCAAGGTAACCACTGCGGTGGTTAAGAGCATGGTTTTGGGTGTCTGACAGACTACAGTTCAAATTTCAGTGTGACACAGACAAGTTATAATGCTCTCAAAAGTCATCTAATTGGAATAAGTATAATGCCAGTAGCTGCTGTGATATA